AACATTACAAAGTACTTTAGTGAAATTGTATGCTAAAAAATACTTGTGCAAATTAACAGCAGGTTTATTTCATGGTTTTACTTTCCAGGTTGATTATACAGAAAGTTGTGTAATGTAATCAAGGCATCGTTGACTTCATCCCTGTTCTATATGCGGACTGCATGAGGTCCAGAACCTCCCCCACAGTTCCCAGCATGCAGTTCCCTTTTGATCAGCCTATAACATGACTTCATAACCAGTGATGTCAACGTCGCTGGTCTGTCGCTGGTCACCGAGACGACAGTGGACTCTTTCCATATAACTTCGGAACCATTGTCTGCCGCAGAGACGTCTTTAATATTTCTGACATCACCTGACAGAACTGTTCAGGACAATACCTCAGCAAGTTTCCTGTGATACGGCCCGACCCTGCTCTTATTTGTCTTATTTTTCTCCATCACGAGCAACAAACATCTGGTTTGACTTTGTAAAGGGGGGACAGACTTTGCATATTTCTCTGAGTCATGGATTACAAATCGTAAATAAAACTACTTAATGCTTCACCCAGCTCTTTATTGTGCTATTATCCTGCAATGCCATCTGGCTTGTTTTCAAATCTTGTATTAGCCTGTTATTTTCCTCATTGCGTCTCATACTACCGTCAAATTGTTGCTGTTTAAAAATTTACCTGCAGCTTGTTTTTATATCTCTGCCCATTTTAATATCTGCTCAGCCTCCCTTTCACAATAATCCTGTGTTTCCTCTACAGCACATCAGGGGTTTAGTAACGGCTTGTTATTAGGGAACACTCAATGTGCTGCATGGGAAATAACAATGTCCTCACAAAACGAGATATGGCCACAGTCAGTGTCAATACGTTCATCAATATCTGAGGCTGAGTCCTTCAACACAGACCAGTCTGTATCAGCAAAGCATTTAGAAACAGCAGCCTCTCTTCTTCTTCATCTTAATCTTTGGTCTACAGTTCAGGAGTGAGGTACATGGTGCCTGGTGAGAGGAGCCGAGATTGAGGTCCTAATTAAGATTCAAGGATTTGTTCATCTTACGATATTAAAATCTTGCATCCACAAGGACGTGACATCAGGGATAAAGGACCGGCGTCTTTGAGTCACCGTCTGAATGATGTCTGCAGCAATTTGTGCATTAGCTCCTGGATGCATATACATATACATACATATAAACTCCTCCCATCACAGCCTCTTCAGGCTGAAATGAAATATTTCAACATGAATTAGATTAACTGCCATGGAATTTAGCTTCCACATTGATGGTCTCCAGGGGAGGAGCCATACTAATGACTCAGGTTAATCCCTGACTTTTCATTCAAAGCCAACAACAGGTCAAACTTTCTACTTCAGTTGATGGCAGGATGGCTCAGCAGTCCTCTGAGATTACAACTATTAGTACGCTAATATTATCCGCACCGTCCTAAGTAGCTCCTGTGTACCTGCCAACTCAAGACAGAAGAAGTGGACTGGATTTAGACTGAGCTGAGGCTGCCTTATTAACATAGGGACACAGAGATACAGACATGTAGAAACTGACAAGTAAATAAATGTAGAAATACAGAAATAAAATAAATAATTGTAGAAATTAATAAACTAATAAATGTAGAAATACAGAAATATCCCTTTTAATCACAAACTGCATTTATTTTTTGCATTTAGTTATTTATTTATTTATCTCCTTTACTTATTTAGACTTTTTTGTCTTTCATACACAAGATTTCTGATTTTTCTCATAAAACTGTTGTTGTTTTTTAATCTCACAATGTTGAGACAGATTTCTGCACCAGAATGTAATAGCTTCTTCCTGAGGTGCTCCCCCGACCCTCTAAAAATATTGATGGTAATCAGTTGAGTAGCTTTTGCATAATTCTCGTGACTAACACAAACACATGGAAACAAATGTAGTGTATATTACACTTAAACATGACATAATGAAAATCATATATCATGAGGATAACGTTAAATGTCAAAATGAGTATCTCTATAGTTTTCCAACAAACACTGAACAGCACAGGCCTCTGTATGCAGATTCACTGGACTGAGCAGGTGCATCAGTAAGTGGACACCGTGTTTGTGTTTGTTCAGCGTTACGTTCCCCAGGAGAGAAACTTTATTAGACTTAATGAACACTCTGCAGACCCATACATGCGTTTTCATTTAGTCTGACTGATTAGACATCTGCTCAGGTTGAATTGTGGCAGTGGCTTCGTCTGAGATAATCAAAAAATGATCTCCAAATAAAGCAATGTGGAAGTTTTACTGTGCGTACAGGAGAAATAAAATTAACAGGAGGGTGATGGTCTGTCACAGTTCAAACTGTAAAGATGCTTTTAGTGTAATGGTTTAATTTTGTGTTAAAATTCAAATGTTCATGTTTCCTTTGCTGCTTCCAATTCATGTCAGAGCATCAGACAAAGTGACCACAAGGGGGCAGGATATCATCACAGATGCGTGAGGGGCCGTCAGTGACGTTTTATGCCTCTGACCTTGGCAGGTTGATGGATGACAGCTTGGAAACAAAGGAGTCATAAAGAATTGGGTTGGAGATGATTAAGAATGAAAGGAGAGTGGTAGTAAAAAGGAGAAAGATGTGTGTGTGTGTGTGTGTGTGTGTGTGTGTGTGTGTGTGTGTGAGAGAGAGAGACACAGATTCACAGCCGGTGCAAAGACAAACATTGGCATCACAATCTGCAGCATAACAGGCTTGACAACTTTGTTAACCAAAGGTTTTTCTCTCCACTCTGTTGGTTTTGCAACCTTCCGAGCCACAGAACATGCCACACACTGCAGATTAGCAGGCCTCAGAGCTATGTGAGGAATGTGACTTAATGCTGATAAACTTGTGGCCTTTCAAAGGGGTCGAGGTTTCATCATCCTCAGCAGGGGGGGGTGGATGTGGCAGAAACTGGACAAAAGACAAAAGACGTAAATATAAAACATGTTTAGATAAAACACAGAGTTCGGTCATTTAAACATGTTACCGTAGTTCAACATGTGACAAGTCATTACTTCCAAGTTTATTCATGTGAAAACGGGATGGGAGTTAAGTTTAAGGTGTGATTTGAATTGGCTTTGGAACTATGTGGTTTCATAGCTGCAGACACTGATGAGGCTTATTTGCATATCAGCCAGAGGTAGAATATAATGAAGGGAATCAGCTGACTGACGGATTCTGGACCACGGTGGAGACGTGAAACCACACAAACTCCCACACTGCACCTGAATACACGTAAACACACGTCACAGTTCTCGTTATATCAACTACGATCAACTTGATGTCAACTTAAACACAAAATGTGATTTTATAAGAAACTTTTCAGGTTTTTTTAGGACATGTGGAAAAAATACAACTGCAGCCCTTTAATGTGAGGATGTGAGAGAACTACAGCTTTTGTTAGTTCAATGTAATAAACTGAATACATTGTGGTTTTATATTACTGGTTGGACAAAAAAAGACATTTGAAGACATTATCTTGGGCAAATTAGGGATATTCGATGTTTGCTTTGCTGCTCTGGAGGATTTTATAAGAAACTGTGAAAAGAATAATACAGTTTCAGTCCATGACAGCTTTTCTTACTTTTATGTGATGATAAACTGAATATATTTTCTGGTTTGGCAGTGAGGAGTATCACACTGTGCTCTGCAGCTTCGGATGATTTAATAAGAAACACAGTGTTTTTATTCAGGTTTTTTTCTTTTAGCAAAATGCCCAGATGAATAATACAGTTTCAGCCCAAGATATAAGAGCGTGAAAGATTTTCTTACTTTTATATGATGATAAACCAAATATAGTTTGGCTGCTTGGACAATCAAGACATTTGAGGAGGTGGGACATTTGATTTTTCTATTATTTCCTTTTCATGAGTAAATAAAAAATAAATGTTTGTCAGATATAGAAAGAGGCCAGTGGCAGTGAGGAGTATCAGTGCTTTGCAGCTTTGGATGATTTGATAATGTTGAGATGATTTGATCATGTACAAGATGATTTAATTACATATAAGATGATTGATCATGTACAAGATGATTTAATTACATATAAGATGATTTTATGATGTATAAGATTATATTATAATGTATTATATTATATTATAATGTATATGGTGATATTATAATGTATTATATTATATTATAATGTATAAGATGATTTTATAATGTATTAGATGATATTATCATGTATTAGATGATAGTATATTATATAATTATACATTATAATATATAATGATATATTATAATATATACAAATATATTATAATGTATAAGATGATTTTATGATGTATAAGATGATTTTATGATGTATAAGATGATATTATCATGTATTAGATGATATTATAATGTATAGTTATACATTATAATATATAAAATGATATTATAAAGTATAATTATAATATATAAAATGTATAATTATATATTATAATGTATAATTATATGTTATAATATTTAAAATGATATTATAATGTATAATTATAATATATAAAATGTATAATAATATAAATATAATATATAAAATGATATTATATATTATAATTATTATATTATATATTATAATATATTATAATAATATATTATAATGTATAATTATAATATATAAGATGTATAATAATATATTATAACATTATAATATATAAAATGTATAATAATATATTATAATGTATAATTATAATATATAAGATGTATAATAATATATTATAACATTATAAAATATAAAATGTATTGATCCACTTTGGATCCAGGCTGAATTCTCGTCTATCGATCACCTCTGATCTTCTCCCATCAGCCAATCAGCTTCCTCGGGGGCGGTCCGTTGCTAAGGAGGAAGTTTGGTTGAGTCCCGGGGCAGCAGCCATTCAGCGGCGGTGACTGAAGCGATTGGACTGCGAGCGGCTCTGCCTGCGCTTTCTGTGGAATTTGAATTATTCCGGCCCGGCACGGTTCGCGATAACGCAGGTGACGGCTTCAGCGGGGCGTCTTCTGCGTGACAGGTAGGTGGGAGAACCCGCGCGGCGGCCACTTTCGTTAGCCTCGCCCGCCGGAGCACGTTAGCTCCCCGGAGCTAAGCTGCACTAGCGCCCGTGTGTTTTTCGGATGCGGCACACGCAGCTACATTTGGCCCCGTGGCTCTGTAGCTCGCAGCAGAACCCGGGTACATGTCTTTCTCAGCTCGCTCGCTGACCCGCCCAGGTAACAGGGCGAGCCCGATGTGAGCCGGGGACCTGTCTTCCTCCCACGGGGGCTGGAGAAAGGTCTGTTTGTGCCCTGACGCCGGGAGCTAGGAGGTCGGTCAGTTGGCTAGCTAACGTCAGATAAGAAGCTAACGATACTCAACTCACCTGGTTAACTCTTGAGGTGAGCGAGAAACAGACGTGACGCACTGACACTCATTAACTTTGGCTTCGTTTGACATAATGGTCCTCGGACTGGTTCAGTGACACGACACAGCCACTTCTCATTTCTTGCAGTTAATTTTAGTTGATTGAAATGAGCCCAGCTAAAAATTGAAAATGGCTAAAACACAAACAGCTTCTCGACTCATACATCCAGCAGCCAGACATCAGATTACCCTGAATATTTAACATGTGACTCACAGCCACAATACACTGGGTTTTAGTGAAATGTGATAATGTGCCTCACATTCTCTTATATGGTAATAATGTCAAGTTCAGACCTTTGGCCTGTGTGTGACTTTACCCCTTGGAACCAGCTCAGTATTAAGATTTACATTCTGGTCTGTCATCTGACAATCATCAGTGGTCAGATCCCCCTCAGGCTTTACAAAGATAGCTCCATGACGGTCGCAGCATATCACACATTTGGCAGAAACACCCTGTTCATCGGACAGCAACCTCATTTGGTTGTCATCGTTGCTTCGTGGATATGTGTGTGCTACTGTTGTGTTAGTGGAGAGACGACCAGACTTTATAGAACTGTTGTTACCTGTGTGTCATATTAACAAAGTCAACGTTTTGCTATAAAATATCAGAAAATAATAAAAAAAAACGTGCCAACAGTCCAGTATAATCAGAATCAGAAATACTTTATTAATCCCCGTAGGAAAAATTCAAACGTCACCGAGCTCCTGAGAAAGAGGTGAAGAGCAAAAGCAGGTATAAACAAAGCAATATAAAAATCAAGTAAGACTAAATGTTTTCATATTGCTTATTTTACCCACCAAATAATCCAAAGCCCAAATATATCCAAGGCACTTACATAGGAAAGCATCAAATTGCTTGAAAACCCCCTGAAACAATGCAGATTAATGTTTTGTTTATCCACTAACAGATTGAATAACTTGTTACTTAAGCTCTACTACTGCTTAGTTTTGCTGGTGTCAGTATAAGGAACTTCTTACCCATTTGTTAAATGTATATGTCTTTTGGAAAGGAATTCAATGATCCCTCCCACACAACGAGAGACAAGTGAATTGGGAGTGTCTTTATTTCCCCTCATATTTTCAAAGTAACTCATGGTTTAGTTCATCTCGCAGAATGAGGGTGTTGGATTGGCCTTCTGCCACCAAACGCACTGTGCAAGTCTGTCAGCTGTTTTTGAGAGAGGGGCAGAACCCAAGAGCAAGTCTGCGTTCCAAAGCGTTCTGATTCAAACCTGGAGAAACTAGTGTTGCTCTCTGCAGTTCGCCCTGCTCTCCAAAGATAGGCGTTTATTTCTTGGCAGTGAGCTGTACATGTGAATGCTGAGTGGTGATGCAACACCGGGGAGATAAACTGTCAGTGCAATGACGGAGCAATCAAAGGGCTTCACTTTTGTCCCTTGATAGTAGTGAGATAGTCGGGCTTCTTGCTGCTTATGGTGAAAGCATAATGAGCATCAATGTCAGCTTAGCTTTCAGTGCAGTGGTAACTGAGTAGATATGAGATGACAGGAATGGGAGATATGGCTCCGTGTGTCTGTTCTTCTTTTCAACATCAAACAGTCTGGATAAGGGCAGATTGTCTGTGGCCAGTGTGTTGTCTCACCTGTGCTGTTTATTTATCATGTTAATCCTTACTTGCAGTATAGATGCAGGCCTTTTGAATGTGCTGGCTGATAGTGTCATCAAACTGTGCTTTTTGTCAACATCCCAGCTCTCTAGAAATGTGGGCATACCGAGCATGTTAGGTATGATTTCATAAAGTGTGTACAATGTTTTCTCTCTCAGTTTAACTTGTGTGGGAAGGTGAGAGAAAAGACACATAAAATTCTTTCTCTACTTCAGTTCAGAGTGATATCATTGAATGTCAATCATTTGTTAACATACTCTCGTCTGACAAAGAACAAACAATGTGGGATTTTTGGTAAAGCTCTACTCAGGAGATTTTTACTCACAACCCCTGGTGCAATTATAATTGGACAGTGTGACTCAAAATAAATTGTGTCCAAAAAATACACCAAAGTGCTGTTAAGTGCATAGAAAATGACCTGTAAAATGGATGTCGCCCAAGGCATCAGGACAAATGTTGTTGCAAGCATCATTAACATAAAGGTCCACGTGGAAACTGGTACCTCTGCATCTTTAGAAGCCCGTCCCCATCTGCACTGGTTAGATCCACATGATCACAGCTCCATATTCTGAGCTGATTGGGACTGGATCCAGCAGGGACACTGAGAAGATTCAACTCGAGGGGAGGTTTTACAATCAGGATCTCAAATGTGCAGCTGACCCCGTTTCGACATAAGTAGCCTAAAATAGGTTGTGTGGAACCGCAGAGTTTGTTTGAGCTCGGTGATGTGTTTGTTGGTAAGCAGTGTAAGTGGGTTGCCTTCTGCCACAGAGGTGCACATTTACTGTCAATTCTGCCTTATGTACATGACATATAGAGTCGAAAAGCTGTTTCTCCCACACTCTGAGGTATGCATATACAAGTACTAAACAAACAGCAAGGGTTTAAAATGCTAAATAACTTTCTCAGAGGAATCAGTAAATCTCCTCAAACTGATTTGACAAATCCAAATATACTACTGGAATGGCACCCAGTAGAGTACATATATATACTGTATGTATACATACCTCCACCAAGGTTCCCACAAATTAAATCAAGCAGCACCAAATTTCACAAATGCATAGATGTCAGTCCTCTCAATTTCCCCTTTGTGCAGTTTCTAATACAACTGGTTGGAGACGACAGTTAAATAGAGGAGGTCAACAAAGTTTTTTTCAGACACATTAGTAACAACCACCAGCAGGTATAACCACAGCAACCATATAACATTGACACCATTCGTATTCCATCTCATCACTCCTTACCTGACTCGACATTGTTTGTCTTTGGTATTTTCAATGAACACTCACTCAAACGCGTGTAAGAAATCTTTTATGGTACACGGTGTTTGCACTTGTCCAGCCCATAATCTACCTGTTGTAACCAGACTATTATCATTTTCTTTACTCTGGGAAGGAAACTGAATTTTGCATTTGCATTTAATGTTTTTGAAATAATGCATGATCCTATTTTTTGTGAAGAAGGGTTACATTCACTCACCCAGTTTTATACAAACCCTGCAGCATTTGGCTTTGTCAGCAGTCACTTAGAAAATGAAAAACAACAGTGTAATGGTGTTTTATTGCTTTGAACATGGTTCTTTGAGTGTCCCCATTTGGGACAATATCTGTAGCTCTTAATTAGGTCTGAGGGGCCTTGGGCTCCTCATTTTGCCCTGGCTGTTTAAACTGTGGATTAGAGCCGGGAGGACCGTGTGGGGGTACGTCACTGTATGCAAGGAGTTGCCTTTCAGGTTTGTGTCTGTATAACTCCTCCCCGGGTATGCCATGGGGCTCAGGGACTCCTTTTGTCTCACTGGGGCCCTGTATAGAGCGATACCTGAGCCTCCTGGACTGGAAAAGCTCATGCGTTATTCAGCCCTCTGATCTCTGCTTTAATTACGAGTGACCCAGGACAGAGAGACCAGTGGAGTATCTCTTAACTTCAGAACTTTGTACCAGTTACCGCTGCCAGTCACGGTGCTTGATTGTGTAAACCTTTTGGCTGAGGTGTGTTTTTCCCATTCACAAAGATGCATCTATTTATAAAACAAAACAGTAAAAACTGACCCAAAAGACACAAATAGGGAATAAAGACATTTTTAGAAGGTTGCTGCAGTTGCATGCTTTTTGGATTTGAGTAGCTTGACTTGCTGGTAAAAAGTTTCCCACCTGTCCCTTGTCTTTAGGGCCTTACCTGTATGGCCTCTCAGGTGCACTGTTGTTATTTTGACAATATATATTTAATATATAATTTTTAACAGTGAAATGAATGTGTCTTGAGTTTTATCACTCAATGTGACTAAATCTTAAAATGTAGTAAATAATTTCTAACCTGTAGAAAGCTTGACTTGCAACTGTATTTGTAGTACAACTTAATAGACATTTTGTAATATGGGTGGAACAAAAATCAGACTTTGGTATTGGCTTTATAAAAACACCTTTGTGTGTCCCACCTCTCATTTCCACTGTATACACTATTGTTATCATCTCACTCTGTGGTTGGTTTAATGACTCCCTGTCTCAAAACTAAGTGTTAGTGTCTATGTTTACATCTAATGACTCCCTTTCCAAAGTGAGACTATTCCTTCACATATATGCACAATTTCCATTTCCTTGACTGCAGTGACAGACAGTCTGCATTCTGCCTCCAGTATAGTTTTGACTAATCTGTAGCATAGCACACTGGTCGTGTATCAACGTTGTCGTGACACCGGTTTCCCAGTAACCACAACAGCAGTTCTTGGGTGATGCAGCAATAAGAAGAATATGACCTCAAAAAAAATGTCAAAGAGAAAATAATGACTTGCTTGCAAGATGTGAAAAATGTTTATTAAATGTTTTGATGCACATTTATTAACACAAGCAGAGTGTGATTTACATCTGCAGAACTCTTTTGTTATTAATATGACTGTTCATAGAATAATCATGGTCATTATTTTGTTGTGACAGATGTGTGTACATTGCCATGTTTATATATTCTCTGATAAGGTTTGACTGACTTTAATCAGAATATTGCCTTTGTGTGGTTTAGGCTATTTTGTTAATGTGAAAAGGGTTTTGAAGAATTTTATTCTGAGCAAGTAATGTCTCAAATAAAGTACAGCAAGGTGTTTAAAATTGGCATAATCTTGAAAAGATGTCATTGACATATGTCTGTAGCTAAAATAGCCCCAAAAACCATCTCTCTACCCGAAGGTACGTCTCTAATCTCTCTGGGCCTTACTGCTTTGAGACCAGACTCTTCAGCTGACTCATGTTGTATGGGGAAGCTCCTTCTGACCCACACGGGTTTACTTGGACCGGTACTGGCTGTTGTGTAACTGCAGTGTGTCTGAGCCAAAGTCCACTGGCTACTGTTATGTTTCTG